CAACATTTCCTCTGAAACACTTTTGGTTTTTCTCAGGTACTTTTCGTCTAACCACGAGTCCACCCTCTTCGGTGTTGTGTCTGTTGCTCTTTCAAGAAGCTTTTCCGTGATTCTGAGTTTTTCTTTTAGCTTCCAGATCTCGCGTGTTGACTCGTTGATGGTGTTGGTTTTTTCAACACACAAGTCAATCTTTCTTTGATTAAAACAGTTAACCTCTTCCTTGATGCGTTCCACTAGCTTGGCATCGGCTGTGTGAACCTTTGTCAAACCTTTAACCTTACGCATCAAACCATCAACCATATGACGATACCCTGTCCTCGTGTTTTCCTCCATTGGCACTCTGTCATCGCCATCTACGTGCTGTGCTTTGAGGCGAGCAACACCGATAATAAGCTTCTTGGGGTGAGTGATATCAGCCACTGCTTGTATATCTTCCTTACAGCGCATGATGCAGTTTGCCATGATTTGGTTTTTTGCGCGCTCTTTGATCAAGAGTGGCTGACAGCCCCTGAGTTGAGAGTATAGATCTAAGACCTTTCCTTTCAGTACCTTGTTTTCATTCATGTTCTGGTTCAGCCTTGCCCTGGTCTTCCTGTGTTCAGTCTCGGCGATTCTGAAGTTTTGGTCCAATAACCTGGATTTCTCCTTCTCTTTCTCTAATTTAAGATTTGTAATAAGGTTTCGGTCCTTTTCATTTGTCAAATCGTCTACCAATAATTTTTCATCCTTTTTTAAATTTAATATTTCCGTATTTTTTCTTTTAATAATCATCTTGAGATGCTCGCATTGTTTATGTGACTTAACCAAATCATTAGTTAAATCCGGCTGCGCACGTAGTTTCATTACTTCTTTCCTCAGTCTTTCAACTAGGTCCTCCTGGCGTTTCTTGCCCATAAGACTTTCCACATTTGCACCTAATCTTTTATGAAAAATACCGGTCTTGATTTCAGCGGCCATTGCCTCTCTTAAGTTCGCCATCTCTTTTTCCTTCTGAAGGACTTTATTCGTCTCCTTTAACACATCAGCTTCACATTCTTGCAACTTCTCTTGCAATATTTTATCTAGTTTTTCATTTTTCTCTCCCAAAATCCTGCTTATTTCCCTCGTATGCGTTGCCAGCAGATTCCTCTCATTTTCTTCAAACTCTGCTGAGCTTCTCCGTATGAGAGACTCATACTTTGCAATGAGTTCTTTTTTCTGTTCCTCAAATTGGGTGTCCTTAGTGACAATTGATTGCTGCAGCTCAAAGATTTTTGACTCTGCATCTGCGTCTCCACTTTCTTTGTTCCAAGATTTTTTCTCGTCAAGAAGGTCCTTAATATACTCTAGCTTCTTTTTTAATTCATCCTTGTTTTCTTCAATAGTTGCCTTTAGAATATTATTTTCAGACTGCATAGACTGTAGTTCGAGGCTTTGTGAGAGCAGTTCTTTAGCAAACAGCTCCTGCTTATATTTTGACGCATCTTCTGCAACCTTGAGCTGGAATTTGCTATAATATTCAGTTCTCTCCATTTTGAGAAATGTGTCTAAATTAAACAATTGAGTTTCAGCAGCAAATTTGAATTATACTTGAATTATAAAGCTGCCTTTAGTTGTTTTGTGTGTGCAACCTACAGTTGCTGTTGTTCCTGGAGTTCGAATTTATTAAACTTTTAGCCTAATGTTTAAATTAAATCGAAAATGTTAAAGTTTGTATCTTTTCTTACTTCCTGTCTTTTCAAAAGCTACAGTCTCTCTGAACAAACTAAGTCTTACAAAGCCGGGAGTAGCCTACTTCGAATTCAGATGTGTGAGTCTCTTGCAGGGAAGATGACATTACTCATTACGTCATAAAACATCAAGGCTCTTCGAACGACGCCAGGAATTACGTCATCACGTTAGGTGTAAAACTACGGTGGCCGAACATTAACAACGTTCCATGAAACGCTGCATACGTTAAAGGTTGTAATTAATAACACTGCAAGAAGCTCATGACATAAGGAAAACCAAAAAGGGGACACTAAACCGTGATGCACACGGCTGGGGCCAGGAGCGCTTGTTGACGGGGATTTACTCGACCAGCTAGGGCAACAAGAACATCAGGGTAATCGAGTGTGACTATTAAAAAATAAATCATTATTATATTAATATTGACAATAACAACCGACCGTCGGGGTAGCATTTGCTTGGCATTTCCGGGTATATCTCCACTGGTTGGGCCATGTTAACAATACCGTGTAACTGTCACGTTTGAAGGGACGAAATCGTGACATCTTCACGTCTCGTCTCCCAGCATGGTAAATCGTCACATGTTCACGTCTTGCCGTGATACCGGGTTGCATTTGGCATAGTATTTGTTCATTGGTTCATGTGTGTAGCATTTTTATGGCAGTGTTTTGAAAATGTCAGATTTCTGTTTCTTACTCAGAGAACCGTGTGCAGTGTTTTGTAAAAATTGCAAATTGGGTGCAGAGCTGAAAATGTGTTTAGAGTTTTGGAGATTTGAGCTGAGGTTTTGGTCTTTGAGTGTGGGTTTAAAATAAGTATGCTTTATGTGAGATTTGTGTGTGTTAGCAACTGTGACAGGGTTCTTCGTTGTGGCGGTGGGAGTGCTGCACAACTACGTACTCAACATTAAATCAAACAGAAGAAGACGACATGAATTGATCAACAAACAGCAGGTCAAGCCTTGCCACTCCTACATTACTCATATGTTGTTGCTGGTTAATCTTTGGTGGAGATTCAGGACTCAACCACTAGATGGCAGCAGGCCCTTAATTTTACCAGATGATGCTGTTGTTTTCCATCATTCACATTAGTTAAAATCACTTTTAAACACACTTTAAAATCCGTTACAGATTTTATCAAACTTAATCAAGAATTATTCAATATTAGACATATTAACTAACTCCTAATAGAACACAGTTATATCAGTTTTTTTTAAATGAACGTTTATTTTGTATTGTTCATTATTGTTTAATACATTTAAAAATATATATAAATATATTTTTGTAAATGCATTATAACAGAATTTATAAATTCAATTCATCTTAATAACTGCTGTTTAACTCACTTGACAGTTTAAGTGTCTCATGATGGTCCAAATACTTTTTAACGTAAATAGACATTTTCTGATGTATGTTATTGTACACTAATAATATTGTTAATAAAGACTTGTTTTCACAACATATCAAAATCAGCTTCACATGGTGCTCATATCCGCTCGGTAACGAATCAGCTTAAAGGTAGGGTCGGTAATTCACTTCAGACACACTTATGTTAAATATTCCATGGAATGCTCTTAACATCCCGATAGCAATGAATAAACTAAATGCTTTGACAATAAATATATACAAATATTTCATCTGTGAAAGCCGTGGCGCTGTAAAAAGCAAGTCCAATTATCTGCCTCGGCCCGCAGATAATTGGATGGCCTACCTGTCTGTCAGCCTTCCATCTCGTGCACAAACTTATCTCGTGCCCTCATTGGTCATGTGCGTGTTGGAGGAGGGGCTCTGTAAGGAAGTCTGAAGGAAGGGGCAGATTTTTTCGGTTGTGTGCTTTCAAATTCTAGTTTACTCGAGCTGGTTCTCCATTGTTACCTACCGTACCTTTAAGAAACAATACAGTGTAGAAACAATGCCTGTGCATTCCCGTTTTTTTTATACCATTATTGATGACGTTACCCAATACGGATTATCTGGCTCATATTTCGACTGAGTTACATGACACAGGGTGTATCAATGGTCAGATTTGGGATACATACAAACCATATTTCACTGGGTCATGACCTTTATATATACAGTCTATGGTCATGACCTATGGTCACTGTCTCTCTCACAGTCATATTTCAAACTCTGGCTCCAAGACTGACTAGTCAAGGGCAGCTGGCTTTATAAAGACAGGGCTGACTCACTCTGTCAAGTGAACACAAGGACATGAGGAGTGGGTTACACAGGCACAAAATACACACACACAAAAGTGACATAGTGCCCTTAAATTAGATATTCACAGATGCTACTGACTGCATCCCTGTATAATGTGCGGCATGCATGTGACTTTAAATAAATACAATGTAACTTGTGACTAAAGTAAAGAAGCTTTTGTCAAGATCATCTTCACGGAGAGATTGGTAGAGAATGACTGATTGTAAACCGTCTATTTATGTCTTGTAAGTCACATAGGCAGAATCTTCAATATTGGTGGTGGCAATACACACCGATTTAAACCTGTAATCAATGCATTGCTCTGATAAATACTTTATCTTTAAGAATTCAAAAGTCTCCAGCAGGTTCTATATTCAAATAAATCTGCTCACAGGATTTCATTTACATGTTCCCTTGATGTTGATCACATACAATTCGTATGACACTTAAATGCTAAGTGATTTTTTTTTTAATATGACTGGATGAACACTTTAGATTTTGTGTGTTTGACATCATGGGAAATATGGGTCAGTTGAATTGTTGCTGCTTTATCTTGAACAGAGGCATACATCATTTGAAACCTGTTGAGTGTGGGGCCCTGAATAAAAAAAACTGTCAATTATTTGGAAAGTGAAAGTAAGTTTAAATTGTGTTTATCATGATTTTTGATACTCGAAGTGTGAAATGATCCCTTATACTAGCTCTAAGAAAATAAAGAAAAAATTGTTATCAAAATACTTAGTACTGCTAATCTGTATTCACATATTTGAAGTGTATTAGAAAACAGTGTTACTTATTGTATTCCTCATGTTTTCGTTTAATTTAATGAGCATTAAATGAAAAATAATTGTCGACTGGGAGAAAAAGTTCTTCTGGATCCTAAAGCAATGATACACACTGCTCACTAGATGGATCCGTTTAACCAGGAGAGCTCAGATCCAGCTAATAATACTGCTTTGTCAGTCATGTAGCGAGAACATTGTGTGCCAAAACACAGGGTTACCTGATTTGGCAAATAGAAGATTAGACAGTAAAACGACAAATGAACATCACATTCAAATGATGAAATAAAGGCACCACCAAAACAAGAGCCTGTATGTACACATTTATTAATGCAGTGCAGCACATTAACAATGTTGTTATAAACACAATATCATCGAGATGTGACAGGGCTTCCTGGTCTCCTGCTAAGCCGCTGCTGAGCTCAGTCAGAAGGATGGATTCATTATTACTAAATGTAGTTTAGCGTAATTCTCTAACCTCTTCTGCTTCAGACAGGTCAGCTGAGCAAGCAGCACAGACCGAGGGAAATTCACAATCCCCTATGAAAAAAATATCTTTTTAAATATACTTTTGAATGGCCAAACAAATGTAAAAATAGAACATAAACATGGCAACACAATTAATTGATTATCTGTCATCATATTTTAGTGCTTGTGGATGAAAGAGGCAATATGTGAATACAAGACTTTAAGAAAGGAGATGCCGTCTCCTTAAGGACCAACAGCCTCCTTCTTCACGTTTAAGTTCTGGTTGATCTACAAGTACAAATGTTACTGACCCCAAGTGCCACAAATCTCAAAGAACTAACCAACAACTTGATGACAACTTTAGCGGGAGGATTTCAATAAAAATAATTAAGAGCATCCACTTAAAAGTAAGAGCCACAGCCTTCGGATACGTCTTAACTGACATGGCTATTCTACCAATGTTGAAATGCGGGAATTTAGAGGGAATTCTGATTACAGCATGTAAATAAATGATGACCAAGCTAAACCAATAACTGATTGATTTGCAAAAGATATCAAGATGATCTCATTGACTTGAGATAGACAGAAACCTTAGTAAATACTGTTAAAAGGAATGTGGGGCAGACAAACCCGAACAAATCTCGAAACATTTTGGGAACAGAGTGAACAATTTATAAAAATGCAACATACAAAAACTATTTAAAATGGCTTAAAATAAACAGTCCTAGCCAGACTGCTTCTCTTCAAATCAGCGCTTTTTACATTTCTTTACAGTCTTATGTACAGTCAGGGATGTGATCCACACAACAAAAAACGTGGGAAAAAAGGTCAAATATATGGAGGTCTGCGAGCAAAATATGACATCACTTGTGATCAAATCACAGCAACGTTGACGTCCTGTTTTCCAATCCTTTGAAACACCAGGACCAGAAAAGAAAATAAAAAATAAAAATAAAATCACATCCCTGTACAACAGCCGTTACAACAGCCGTTACAGCAGTCCACTTGTGAATTTTAAAAAAGTCTGATGAAAAAAAGTTGGAGTTGGGGAGATAAAAAGGTAAGAGAAGGAGCTGCAGGTTCTACGTTGTCTTGCGGAAGCCTTTCAGGATGGGATAGATGTTTTCAAACGCTTCGTAGATCTCTCCCCTCACTTTGGCGCCTTGAAAACAAAACAATACAGATATCATTCATAACAATAAGATACAGCGGCAAAAAAACACAAGGCTGAAAGAAGCAACCTTTATTCCCATAGACATTATGAAATAAGATGCACTAAGTATTAACATTACATTTTAACATTCATTGATATTATATGCATTACCCTAAAAAAAAAATCCCAGTTGTCCCATGATATAAGGAATTGGAATCGCACATGATTTATAGGCATCATCAACATCAGTTATTAAATACACAGGCCAATTCTCTTCCTGCCGCAACCTCCGCTCGAGCTCCACCAGGCTGAGGAACAGCTTCTTCCACCAGGCGGTCTCCCCTCCTCTCCCTGCCTCTGACCTCTCCACCTTGCCTCCCCCCCTGCCCAAATGGACCTGGACTTTATTCATTATGTCACTCTGGGGGACTGCGAGAAACGGTATTTCAAGATTTCTGTATGTATAACACATGTAGAAATGTTGACAATAAAGCTGACTTTGACAATTAATCCATCTGATTCGAACAGGCATCTTTGCATTGGCACAGAAATATAAACTAGTATAAGTGAAGTAAAGCCATTAGCAGAGTCTTACCTGTGAGTACAACTTTCCCAGAAACAAAGATGAGCAGGACGATTCTGGGTTTGATCATTCTGTAAATCAGTCCTGGAAACAGCTCCGGTTCGTAGCTGAAACAGACCAATCACTTGCTTTTAACCATTTCCCTGACTGAAACCTCACAACGCAGCCATCATATGCTGGGGCTCTACAAGAAGGCCAACATGTGGGACCTTGTGTTTTAGCTGCCCAAATAAATGAAACAATCAGAAATTACCTGCTAAACTGCTGATGTGTGAGGACTAATCCCTCCAGTCGAATGGGGAACTTCACATCGCAGCTTCCCACCATGTTCTGAATCTTAAAATCCAAGAACTTAGCAGGAAAGCCGAGCTTCTGCACCACACGAGCGTATTTTCTGGCAGCTAACCTCGACTGCTCCTCACTGGAGAAAAGAAAAGTCAATACAGGATGGATTATAATCAAGGTAGAACACTTTAAATGGAAAACAGGGGAAGGCTAACATCCCTATTGGAGAAATCCATAAGTTCTAAATCAGTCTTTTTTTAAACTCAGCACATGAAAGATCAGCAAATAACTCATTTTCTGACCTCTTGGCTCCCGTGCAGACCATCTTCCCAGAGCTGAAGATGAGAGCCGTGGTCCTGGGTTCTCGTATTCTCATGATGACCGCAGCAAAACGCTACGAGAATGAAGAGACAATTATTAAACACCAGCAGCGCTTCAACACAGATACAGTTGTGTGGGATGTTTAGCATTAATAACATTTGGACCATTGAGTTGTGGTGTTTTTGTATAACAGACATGTTGGCAGTATATCAGTACTAGAGGAAGGATCAGGGAATGATCAAAGACACTCCCTGTACCCTGGTGGATTTCCCATGAATGGGACACTATGGGTCGTACTAACTGTGCACGTGCAGCCTCCTGACATAGGTCAGTGAGCATCGATAGTGGACCTTTTTCACAGCAGACAATTTGACATGTCATTACAGGAAAGGCATGTAATTGAGATCAAGTGCCAGGGCTCTGCAAGCACCTAAACACTGGTATCATTTAGTGGACACATTAGGATCCAAACATTTTAAAGTTGCTCAAATAATTACACAAGTAAATTAAACAACATGCAAGTGGAACCGGATTTGTTCCCTGTGCAGTAAGCCTTTACAGTCGGCCACTTTCTGGGTTTACAGGGATTTCAGAAATTGTACTTAAAAGCCCACAGGTGACCTTTATGAGCAGCATGGGGCTGATCAGATATGAAGTGTTAGTCAGTTTCACCTTTGGGTTGTACTCTGCATTCCTGGCTCTCAGGGCAATGGTCTTCAAATCCAGTTTACAGCCCAGATTTACAGTAGATACTATGTTTCTAAAAGTAGAAGAACAAAAAAGGTAAGAAACAGAGAAAGAGACAAAGGCAAACCGTTTAGTCAATAGCTCTGTAACAAGGTTAAGTCCAAAATAATGTCAATGTAGTTTGAATTCTAAATGTATATATTTACCTATAGCAATGTTTAAACAAAACTTCAACGATAACAGCTGGCTAAAATAGCACAACATAAAAAGTGAAAAGTTTTTGTATTTGCTAGATTATATTTCAAGTGGCATTGACATAAATTGGACATACTGAAACTTTGACCATTGTTTGTATTGGATATGAAACATACTGTAGCTGTGGTACTATTCCAGAGCTCTCTGAGGCAGGTGTTGCCGGTGTGATGGGGGTCATGGGGGTCAGCGGGGTGTTGTAGAGCGGGGTGTTCCCTGGCAGCGCTGTGGTGGTCGAGCCTGCAACCGTCTGGGAATGGTAAAGCTGAGGGGTTAGCCCTGACGTTCCAGGAAGACCTGGAGAACAGAGACCATATTTTATTCTCTATAATATACCACCACTTTGGATCGGACTTTGATGAGCATTTTCTATTCTCAGCAAATATCTGAAGAACACCAATTCTAGGGATATGAGATTATGGTTAAAGGATTGAGAATGTGTGTTTACCTGCGTTTGCCTGCTGTGCCTGTTGCTGCTGCTGTTGCCTCTGCTGTTCCTCCAGTATAGACAAACTGTTGGCCACGACGGGCTGAGGTGTCAGACCTGAGCCATAGGGCATCATGGGACTGAAGATAGGCATGCCTGGGGTCATGGCACCCTGCACAAGGACAAGACCAAAAATATGAGGTTGAGTTAGAAAAGCAACATAAGTAGCACTTACTATACTGACAATAGAAAATGCAACAGTTTTTCAAAATGTTGTCTGCCAGCTATGTGACCTGTTAAAGCAAGAGCACAACTCTGGGTCTGAATTAACAGAGCACTATTATTTATTTCCAGATATTTTACAAGTATGGTAATACCAGAAAATAGTTGAGTCAGGATGTTTGCATTCTCCGAGCTCAGGCAACTTGTGAACTTTAAAATCTATATTAAATTGCCATTAAATATAAATAAATTGTAATTGCAATGCTAAAGCTTCCAAATGGGACATAAGACGATGGTGATGGTAAACTGGGGGATCATCCAGGTGAGAAGAAAATATTAGTAACAATTTTAAACCTACCTGAGGGGAGGCCAGTCCCTGGAAGGGACTGGCTGAACTGTTGTTCTGGTCCATCTCTGCAGCTCCTCACGTGAGTTCACTGCCACCCGAGAGCAGGAATTTATTTTAGACAGAAGGTGCAAAGTTGTGCGTCTTCAGTCTTTTTTTTATAGTAGAAAAACCACGGTGGACTGGACTCAGAAAAACACCCTCTTCTTGTTTCTTCTGTCTGGCTGTCAGGCCTGGAAAACAGTAAAAACAAAGGTTTACTCAGACAATGCTTAATACTGGCAGTGTTGGAAGGTAACCAAGTACAATAACTCAAATACTGTACTTACTAAGTACAGTTTTCAACGTATTTGTATTCAACATAAGTATTTCAATTTCCTAATACAGTTCAGAGGCAAGTATTGGCTTTTTTTGTACCACTCTACATACATATACTTATTTTTAAGATTTAAATATGTCTTTATGTTAATATATACATATAACTATATATACACAATACATAATGATTTTTCAGGTTTCAAGGTTAGAATATAACTTATAATAATTGATCCCTTGGTGAAATTCACACAACAAGCAGTATATATAGCCAAGTAAAACCAAGGTCGTCCTTTACCTGATGCAACTATAAAGCAATGAACGCATAAATGCATGTAGAATAATTGTTTGATAATATACTACATACTATTCTGAAATGGGCCATTGTGCAGAAATGTGTACTTTTCATACAAGTAAATGCTAATATGTTGAGTATGTGAGTAACATTTTGAACGCAGGTGTTTAACTTGTCCTGTGTGGACCGTGGTGCAAATACGAGACCTGTTACTCAAGTACCATCTATATATATGTCATATATCTAAATACCTCGTCCACCACTGATAACTGGTCATTATTTAACAAAAGTGCATAATGTTGCAGATAAAATGAAACAATGTGTGCATCCTGCAGCAGTGGCGCGAAGACACTCACTGCTTGCTAATCATCACATTTAGCTTTATCGTACATTAACGTCACTTAAGCTCGTTATTTCATGCTTTAACCCGATGCATTGTGTGCCCTTTGAGTGGATAATGAGAAAAATATGGGTGACAAATATGTTTATACGCAAATAAGTCTTCTATGAGTGTGTCTTGACAGCCTCCAAATGAAACACATCAACATTCTGGCTAGCTGAAGTTAGCCGCAGAGCTAGTATTAGCATCACTAGCTAATGATACTCAGAGTGAAAGCAGTGAATTAGTGCGCTAAAATAGAACTGAAAATAAGTTAGAGATATGCCAGTGCACCGCAGTACATTGCCAGGTAACTTATACGCACACACTCGCAGTTCAAACCACCACACGGAGTGAATGAATTCAGCTTCAGGCTCGCTTCATCCTCGGTCTTGCTGCAGTGCTTCTTCGGCGCTCATGAGTGCTGTCGGCTACTTCCGGAAGTAGAACCTTTATTTCCCGCTGTGTCACAGTTCACGGCAGACAGAGCAAAGATGGCGTCGCTGAGTGACAAATCAGTTTGGGACGAAGTCGAGGATGGAATCGGCGAAGAAGTGTTAAAAATGTCCACAGACGAGATAGTTCAGCGGACTCGTCTCCTCGACAGTGAGATAAAGATCATGAAGAGCGAGGTGCTGCGTGTGACCCACGAACTGCAAGCTATGAAGGATAAAATCAAGGAAAACACGGAGAAGATAAAGGTGAACAAAACGCTGCCGTACCTTGTGTCTAACGTGATCGAGCTGCTGGATGTGGACCCCAACGACCAGGAGGAGGACGGGGCTAATGTGGACCTGGACTCCCAGAGGAAAGGAAAATGTGCTGTTATTAAAACTTCCACTCGACAGACCTACTTCCTGCCGGTGATCGGGCTAGTGGACGCGGAGAAGCTGAAGCCCGGAGACCTGGTTGGTGTCAACAAGGACTCCTACCTGATCCTGGAGACCCTTCCTACCGAGTATGACTCCAGAGTCAAGGCCATGGAGGTGGACGAGCGCCCCACAGAGCAGTACAGCGACATAGGAGGGCTGGACAAGCAGATCCAGGAGCTGGTGGAGGCCATTGTCCTGCCCATGAACCACAAGGAGAAGTTTGAAAACCTGGGCATCCAGCCACCCAAAGGAGTGCTGATGTACGGACCACCTGGTACCGGAAAGACCCTCCTGGCCAGGGCCTGCGCCGCCCAGACCAAAGCCACCTTCCTGAAGCTGGCCGGTCCACAGCTGGTCCAGATGTTCATCGGAGATGGAGCCAAGCTGGTGAGAGATGCCTTCGCCCTGGCCAAAGAGAAAGCCCCATCCATCATCTTCATCGATGAGCTGGACGCCATCGGTACCAAGAGGTTCGACAGCGAGAAGGCCGGAGACAGAGAGGTGCAGAGGACCATGCTGGAGCTGCTCAACCAGCTGGATGGATTCCAGCCCAACATGCAGGTCAAGGTAAATATGCGGCCAAGAAAACACCTGTAATTAACTTTGTATGTGTAGAAACAGTATTTAAATTGACATTCTCTAGTATTAAAGAAGTTACAATACATTTACAGTATCATTCTAGGAGAAATGGGAGCTCTGTAGTTAAATAAGAATGAACACAATGATAACCATTAAAATATGGATACAATACATGTTTTCACAAACCACACATCCAAAAAGTGTTATGAAATCCTAAAACAGTCTAAGTTTATTCTACTTGACAAAGTTAAGCACCAAGTTTCCTTTCTTTTTAATTGCCACCTTGTTATTACTTTATAGGTTAACTACATAACATGTTTTTTTCTAGGTTATTGCTGCCACCAACAGAGTGGACATCTTGGACCCTGCGCTGCTCCGTTCAGGACGTCTGGACAGAAAGATCGAGTTCCCCATGCCAAACGAAGAGGCCAGAGCTCGCATCATGCAGATTCATTCCCGCAAGATGAACGTCAGCCCCGACGTCAACTACGAGGAGCTGGCTCGCTGCACCGACGACTTCAACGGAGCCCAGGCCAAAGCGGTGTGTGTGGAGGCCGGCATGATCGCGCTGCGCCGCGGGGCCACAGAGCTGAACCACGAGGACTACATGGAGGGAATCCTGGAGGTCCAAGCCAAGAAAAAGGCCAACCTGCAGTACTACGCCTAAGGACACTGTCTGTGTCTGTTTTTGTGTGAGAGAGTCTTTGATTATTAAAACAGTTGTTGGGTAAACACTTGTTACAGTTGCTGATTTAACTTGGGTTAATACAAATAAATAAAATGTCCGTAAGTGTTGTGTTTCTTCTTGCTTAGCCCTGATAAGACGGATAGTATTTTCACATTTCCAGGTGGCGCAGAATAATATAATAAAATCGTTATTCTTCTTAAAGTTTTATTGGTTTTTAAAACCTTGGTTTTATTGAGAAAAAACATTAAGCATATTAAAATAGTGCTAGAAAATCCACCAACATTAGACGCACCACAAAGTTGTTTGGATAAATGTTTGTTTATTAGTCACTCATGAGCAGAGGCAGCCTTAGTGTACTGCAGGGAAATGTAAAACAAGACAACTTACTAATGGTCACTGTATACACATTTGAACAGTTATACAGAAATATAAAACTACTGTATGTTTTTAATTCATTACATAATTACACCATAGTTGTATGTATTGTATGTTATGAAAATAAACCTTTGAATCTTGAAAACATAACCATTTATATCAACAAAATGTGACGCTACATTGAATTTTAATTAGTTTGGAAAACCATTTAGACTTCACAAGGTGATGAACATTTCCCATTATACTAATACACTAGTTTTGTTTCCAGTATTATTTCCACCACCTAAAGTTATTGATGTTATGTAACCAATAACAGGTACTGTATGTAAGTACAACATTAAATGTACTTTCCAAAACAACTTTATAATTCTACTCCACTAAGTTAAAAACAGGACTGTCTAAGCTCATGGAAAATAGACTTTTTAGAGATATGTGATTCTCACTGGACTGTAACGCTACAAACATGATCTTATAGAATATGATGCATTGTAATAAATGAACTAACAGAAAAAATAGACTCAAACCTTTTTAATTAACCCCCTTAAGCTGTGTATACATAATTGATCATATTTAATTTCCCTTCAGAATGAAACTATTTTAAAGAAATTTGTTGAAATACCGAAAATCATCTGAGGTTTGCGGGATATTTATGAACTTGCATAACACTTCAGATCCTGTACTAAATGTGATCAAGAGCCTTGAAAAGCTTGACATGAGGGTTCCACTGAAAGAAAGTAGAGTTATCAGTCGCAAAATTAAACTGTCCACCTTATGGATACATGTATCATTCTAGAACATCTCAGTGTGAGCGTCTTTCTGTATAAAAGATGCTATTGTGATAAAGATGTTTCGAGTAGTAATACTATTACTTTATTATTTAAGGACAATATTAACCTGAGATGGAGTGTTCATGTGTGAAGACCACACAAAGAAAGACAAGACATCCTTTTTCAATTCTTTACATTTATTAAGAATGTAAAAAGAACAGCAGAATATGTATCCTTCCAAAACATAATGAAAAACTGAAACATTAGGAAGTGTCTAGGGGCGATCGAGTGAAGAGAGTGTCTTGCTTCTCATAAACAGGAGTGTTGATCTAGAATAAGAATGTTTAACCAAAACAATACAAATGATGTTTCATAGCAGAAATTGAAGGGGAAAACTGAAAAGCAGGAGAAAAGTGTCATTTTCAACTGATATAGATTGTTAATGGATATAAAAAATGGAAATCTGCTTTCCCAGATTAAGCCTGACCTAAGACACCAAAAGAAGCAGATTCTGGAACAACACTCCTTTTATTAAGAAATTTGAAAAGAGCCAAAACAACAGGGAAATGTGGAGAAAGGAGAACACGTCCCTCCTCAGTCCTTCCTCAGGGGTACAGTCTGCTCGTTGATGCCCTCCTTAGTGATGATGCAGAGTCGAAGGGCATCTCCAGTGTAGACATCTCTCTCTGCGGCCGAGATGAAGACATCTTTGACCAGCTGAACTGCCCTTTCCTGAGACAGAGGGATGTGCTGCACACCCTCCATGTTCTTGAAACCAATCTGTGATGAAAAAATAGACATACATTAATTTACAGTACTTTATGGAAACTTGGCTGGAGCACTGCATTGTTAATATTCTTTACCTGGTTGTCCAAAAGTGGCTGAAGCATGGCACTCGCTGATCCTCCGGCCTTGTAGGTGTCTCTCTGGTAGGAGCCCACTGGATCAAAACTGTACACTGCTCCCTTGCCTTCATTACAAAAACAGGAAATATTTCAAATAGAACTAGTTAATACTACTTACACAATCGAGTGCGTATGCATACAAAAGCAATACATTTTCTCATCTCAATATTTACAGCTTTAAAGTCCCTACCATGCTCATCCAGTCCTCCGATGATGTTGTAGACGTAGTAGGGGAAGAACCTCCTGCCGTACAGAATGGTGGACAACATGGCTGCGATGGCGTTGCTGGTCATTGTCTTGTTGTTTGAGTGTTTGTACATCTGAGAGAGTGGGCAGGGACATTACTTCAAGTTAGAACGGAGTTAATACATGGACATCACATTGTTGCAGGTCTGTCAGAAAAAAAACGTTGCAGTCAGCTGAAAGTGGTCATTTTAGGACGGAGATTAAAGAGAGAGTGAAACCAAAAACCTTGCTAAACCAGCCCACCTTTAGTCTGGCATCAATGATTTTTGTCAGGGTCAGGCAGTCACCATGGAAACCACTGCAGCCAATAACGGTGGTGTCTGTCCTGTAAGTGGAAAGAGAAGCAGAAAAATGAGTGACAGTCAAAGCACTTAATTACTTATGTTGAAATGAAAAGAGATTTCAGCCAAGAAAATTGTATTTATTGTTTTTCATTTTTGAATGCATGTTTGAATGCAAGGTGCTATATAAATAAAATGCATTATTATTATTATATAAATAAAGGTTGAATTGTATCAGAACAGCAGTGACTTCAGTGGTTGCACTCCAAATTCAACTGATAATGGCTTTTAATGAAGTTGAACATAACTATGAAAGTAAAAGGTAAAAGGGACCAGTTATAGACTTCAAATTTGAGATTGTGTCCTATAACTGCCCATCTTTCATTTACTGACAGTTTGCAGGATAAAGGGTAAATACGTGCAGAATGAGTGACAGTGCAAACTTACAGCTTGTAGCATTTTGGCGAGTCGCGGCTGTGGATTGAGTATCCTTCACTCAACCTGGTGTCTGAGGCTACGATGGCGAAGTCTTCACCAGCAACAGCTAGTACGGTTCTGAAGAAAAACACAACAGACACACTTGTTTATTAATCGTATACACTGCTTCACCAAAGAGGAAAATTATTGATACTATGCTAACGGAAGCTAAGCTACAGTTTCGAAAATGAAACTGTCGTATTAGCAAATCGTATCAGGTAAACTAACGTATCTTTTCTTTTATCCTTTTTGAGCATATAGAATAAATGAGGATGCTAAATGTGCTGGACAAAGACCTTTTTCTGTTCACATACTTTCCATTAACTTCACCTTTGTTTAGTTTCCTATCGTTTGCTAAGCTGGTTAGCTAGCTAGCATAATGCAGTTAAACGTAAACGTTAGCTAGCAGGCTAGCAAGCCAGCGGTTTAAAAAGTCACACTCACCCTCCGTTGAAAGAGTATGGTGAAAACCGGTGCTCTACGGGGCCGGAATAATGATAATCTTTCATCTTCCCAGGGTCTTGGTATGATTGAGAAGAAAGCATTTTGATGTGTTCAAGATTCAGTCCGGTAAACTCGCTGTATCACTGCAATATGGCAGCCTCTTCTTCTACTGTCATGTCACCCGCGTGTTAACGTGTAACCTGGGCGACAGCGCCACCTCAGGCTGTTTGGATGTAGAGCACGAGACATCACAGTGAGAAAAGTTATGTCACTTCTAGTCATAGTAGGAAGTTGTCCGATTCTTTACTCGAGTAAAAGTACTAACACCACACTAGAAAAGCACTGCATTTCAAGTTAAAGTACTGCATCAAGAAAAGGTACTTAGGTAAAATTATGTAAGTTGTGTCAATTCAGTGTGTGTCTAAATCTGAATTTATAAAGTAATTACATCTTTCAAATAAATGTAGTGGAGTAAAAGTACTAAATTGGCTTCCAAATGTAGTAGAATAGAAGTGTAAAGTGGTGTAAAATGAAAACACTTGGCTGGGTAAAGTACAAGTACCTGAGAATTTGAGTAATGTACTTAGTTACTCCACCACTACTATTAGGGCAGCCATTTGCGTTGTTATAGAAAGCCCTACTCAATCGTTAATGAGGATGTTATCAAGTTTACCGTTAGAAAGAACTAGAGAGTACTTAAGAATATATGGAGGCCCTTTGATAATTTTGCTAAGGATTTTTGATTTAACAGATAAAGTATACAACCAATTTCTTTGGTCTCCGATTTGTGGAACTTTTAGTTTTTAATCAAATAGTTGTTATATTCTTTAAACTAATCTATTATTACAAATAATATTGCCTTCTAGAGAAGTGAACCGGAACCCCTCAGGTCCGGTTTGAGGAATCATTCCTTCACAACTTGGTGGCAAAAATAATAAAAATTGTACAGTCAATTTCCAGTAAAGTAGTTTACTTGAACATCCAATGACCATTAGCGGCTCAACCAGAGCAGCCAGCTGCCGTTTTGTATCACTGCTCGAGAACTTTGTCCAATAAATTGAAAGTACCAGATAAAACTGTATTTTCATGACGCAAAGACAGAAACATCAATCTTTTCAGCACACTAAAGATTCTGTTGCTCCTTTGAAGGTTCAATTTAACACAGTACACAATTAGCAAGGAGATTAATATGAGTCGGTTTTAAGTAGCTTTTATTAAAAATACACTTCATAATTCAGTGACTACGACATTATTAGCAACACATGTTTCTTAAGCAAACTGCCTACTGAGTGACAATACAAAAAAAGAGTAAATTAAATACAAAACAATACAAAATAATCTTTCAAGCTGACTGCAAAAATATCAGTTGGCTAATCATTGCTAATGGATGTTTAAGTTCAATGTAATTACAGTGAGTGGTTACAATTTCTGTTAGGGTTGAAAACTAAATGAATAATGTGAAGACCTACTGCAGCCATGAGGTCTACCAGAACCAAAGTCTGTTACATCTGATTACGCAGAATCACTAGCACCATGTAATAATTCAAAACATTTGTTTAAATAGGATTGCTCTTTATTGACCTGCCTCGTAAAATACATGGTACTAAAAAATACAAAAACATAAAAAATGTGTTTTGAAAGTCAAAGAATAACATAGTTGAGCTCGATTGTCTCAGTAGCACCACTTGTTCCAGTGAAACACATTTCTCACTGTAGAAATGTTGAGAGACAGTAACCACAAGATGTATCAGTTTGAATGAATTAAGAATGCCGTTATACCGTTAGTGGTTAGATCACAGGATTTAGTGCAGTGCTGGATGGAGGATGAGGTCTTATACCGAACAGACTTTACTTTCTCAAGCCAATTCATCTTGATGTTTCTGAGCACGTACACATGAGGTATAATCACACACGACTTAAGGTTTGTTTTGGTGATGGAAAGAGAGTTTTTCTAAGCTGATGCTCTACAGATGTCATTAAAGCTGTCACAGGAAAGATAAATACATTTGTTTTTCTAGTGTCAGCCTGTGTATTTACAGATGGAAAAAATTACTTGATTTACATTTCAGAAGAATTTGGTCGAGGTATCATTCTTAAGGAGGCTGTCGATCATTTTTGAGCTGACTTGGACTTCTTAGGTGTTTTGGCTGATCCTTTTTTCTTGGGTGTAGTGAAATCTTTGTCGCAAACCTCACACACCCAAAGGCCTGAGGAAACAGACAGAACTTATTAATATCCATACAAGAAACACATTTTTTTTAAAGCAGACAAACAAAAAAGTGTGTGGTAAAAGAGAGTTACAAATTAAAAGATGTAGACACTCCTACACAGTTCTCCAACCATGTAGTTGTATTTATATAACACTACATATTTCTAAGACATTATACATTGTGCTAAAAGAAACAAATTATACTTAAATATATAAAAAATAAAACTTTCCAAAAAAACCTAAGCTACTCAATAACTAGTAGCTGCAGTCTGAACATTTAACTATATTTTTGTTTTAACTAAACAAAAATTAAATAAATCCACATTCATAACTGTTATAACCTTGTTTTGTCTGAATGCATGTGTCTGTCTCTCTGTGTGTGTGTGTGTGTGTGTCTGTGTGTGTGTGTGTGTGTGTGTGTGTGTGTGTGTGTGTGTGTGTGT